CCACCACAGCCATGTTCACCTCTACCAGTAATTTAGTTTTTTGTGTTTCCTGTAAAGTAGGTCTCAAACACAGCGATTCTTGCAAGCGCAGAGACGATATACTAGACCCACGATTGCCAACAGGTGGCATTTAAACATGATTAGGTAGACAGGCGAAACTTCTTCGAGAGATGAATGGAAATCTTATTTATCTTCCATTGTAGCATTAGAAGCATTGTCTGCCGTATTTCAAATTGCTAGACAGACCATGATGCCTGTATCTTATGTACCTGCTACAAGGTGGAACTCAAATTTACTACCTAAGAGTACCATTCATCGGTAGTAAATTCCGTATGATAAACGTGCAGCACAACAGAAAAACTTTTGGTGGTGTTGTGTTTCTGTCGATGAGTAAGGTTTCAGGGCTCCACGGGGTAGTGGATTGGGTCAGGGTAGGCAACGACGCGAGTGATACTTTTGTATTGCAAGTATTTATAGGCTGTGTTGGCCGCTTATCATCAGGCGAACCATACGCTTGTTTGCCACCCTTTTAACATAAAACAACAGCCATGTGCGAGTGGCACTCGCAAATCAAGGGTTCCTTACCATAGTATAATATTCAAAACTAGATACAACACAACAAAACATATCGAAAATTTTCTAATGGCGTGTGTGGTCTAGTGTGTATAAGACGAGAACAAAAACTCGGAAAATCTAAACTAAGAAGGCTAAGAAGGGAAGTGTACCGGTACCTTGTATTACTATGGTATCTTTCTTTTCAATGAATTGTTCTTTGTTCTGTACAAAGATTACAGCAAACTAAATGAATTCTTTTTGACATTGTCAGTAGTGTATTTTCCTAAGATTTTCTTAAACTTATGAAAAAATGGACTATTACACGATGGGATTCGTGCAAAAAAGAAAGATTTTTAATAATTTTACAAAATGGACTTGCAGTACTTGCGAACGGTAAAAAAATACTATTTAATTTACTCAATAAATCAATAGTTAATTGTATTATGACCAGGGTTGCAAATTATCAAGATAATTATTTTCTCTGATAATTATCCGATAATTATCTAACTATCAAATCAAATATCATATATATAAATGATATTTTTTTCTATTTTTAGACATTACTTTTACCTGAGAGTCTGAGACTATTTTTAAAAATACGACGACTGGTGGTAGAACGGAACTGGTGTTTACTCGTTCATTATCTATTTTCTATTTTTTCTTATTTTGTATGAACCAACCTCTAGGCTGTAACCTTTGCTCTATGAAAAACAGACTAACAAAAAATATGCCGATTAATGGGAAAACTAAAACAACTGGGGATTTATGATTTTTTATTCTACAGATTTTTGCTTGCATTTTTTTTGAGAAAAGCACTATGTAAGTACGGCGGAACTAGCAATTGCCTGACTCGTATTATTAAAGATCAAACTCTACTCGTCCAGCAATTGCTGGTTTTCCGCGCCTCTACAACAATGTACTATAACTTTTTAAATTATAATTATATTTACTTCGAAAGGATGCAATTGTTTCTTGTTTATTATTTGTCGGCTTTAATATTAACCGCACGAAGTTGGTGTACGTGTAATCACTACATGTATAGTATAAAGCAAAGTCGCATCCCGCTGTCTGTCTGTCCCTATGTATGCATAGGTCTTTAAAACTACGCAACGGATTCTGATGCGTTTTTTGAAGTGAAACTTCTTTATCGGCGTTGAATAAAAATTTTGGTTACGCGCCATCTTTTTTTTAAAAGAGCACTTTTTACCTCATCCGAACAATTGCTTCTTCTGTCAACTTTAAAAAAAAAAGTATCGACAGCAAATATTCGTGTTTCACACAAGGTAAGGTAAGGTAAGGTAAGGTAAGGTAAGGTAAGGTAAGGTAAGGTAAGGTAAGGTAAGGTAAGGTAAGGTAAGGTAAGGTAAGGTAAGGTAAGGTTTCACTTCTTACGTGTGTACACTAGTACACGCACACATTTTTTTTTAATAGATAGAGTGATTCAAGAGGAAGTTTTATATATAACTAGTGGCCCGCCCTCGCTTCGCTTCGGTGTAGAGCTGAAGTGTATACTATAGTTATTGTTCTCAGGCCTGTATTATACAAAATGGCATTCTTCTTATACCTACCGCCGCCGCGACCCGTGTCGAGCGCGGCAACCGTTACACAAAAATAATCCTTATAGCATGATTCAGTATTCACGTGCGACGGCGCGATGACTTATTTCATGTATAAGTTTGGTGTTTCTATACCGATTTCTATGATTCTTTTTTTATTGAATAGGTAATAATGTTAACTTTTTTAAATTAGGGATGAGTGAGAGTATTATAAACGTAAGAGTAAACAAATATAATCAGAATGCTCCGAACTGCTAAGCTATCAGGAGTTACACGTGTTATTGTGAGTCAACCATAAAAGATAAGACATATACTGTAGCGGGATATTTTTTAGACAATTTTATGTAGAATATTTCCGTCATACATGATTTCTATGTAACTTTAACCATTAAGGCTGCACACGCAACGGAAGCTAAAAAAATGGAGTAACTTCTCCTGTTTTCCCAACATTTCTCTTCACTACTCTGCTCTTATTGACTGTAGCGTGATGAAAAGTATACTATAACCTGCCCAGAAGTATGAAGAATAATTGTACCAAGTTTCGTTAAAATTTTTTCGTCGAGTAGTTTTTGTTTCTATAAGGAACATACACACAGACAGACAGACAGACAGACAAAAATTTTACTGATTGCATTGCTGAACCCTACGGAGATTGATCAAAATAATGTACAACAGTATTGTACACCTTAAGAAGGTCTATAAAAAAGTCCGTGATGGTATATGTCTATCTCTTAGGGATAACACACAATGATGTCGATTCTGGCATAATTCTCTAAAGCTAAACTTAAATTTGACAACAGTGCATCCTTGTCCTTCTCTATACAAAATGAAAAGGTGAGACTGATATTAAATTTAGTTTTAAGTTTAGAGAATCACGCCAGAATTGACACCAATAACCATTTTTTATCCTATACTTTTTACGAAAAATACCTAATAGCTTATTTACCAAGCGATATTCAGCAATATATCTTTCATCCTTATCCAATTAAGTACCTTAAATACATTGTGCATTTAATATAGAACAATATGGTCCTTTAAAGCATGTACCTAATTTAAATGAATATTTTCGAAGATATTACAGATTAAAACTGCAGGGACATAGCGGTTCCGACGCAGCCGCCGAGCGGGGGGCCTGGCGGCGCGTGCCTGTTGTAATAAGGTATTAGAAGAAAGTCATTGTGTATAATACAAGCCTAAGAACAAAAACTATAGTCTACACTACAGCTCTACACCGAAGCGAAGCTAGAGCGGGCCACTAGTATTAATATAAGAATTTAAAGTCTCGAACTGCAATGGTCCATAACACAATCAAGATAAGAGGCGCTGGAAGAAATACATAGAATGTTAGTCGCGCGGGGATCCCTGTAATTTTTATTGATGTGTAACATCTTTCCTCTCGCTTTCCTGCAATTTGTGGGAGTGATTTCGTGAAATGGGACGGAAGTATGTAACAGGAAGTCGCGAAAGAGCACGCTATTTGATTTGATTTTAGAACATAATGTTCAAATGGCTTATTAATGGATAGTGATAGTTGATAGTGATATCGCTCACAGTAAACATACATTCTGCGAAAATTTCAGATATGGGTAGATACTACCTATTTCCATTCAAGAAATAGAGCCCTCTGAAAGGGAGATAGCGTAGGCACATTAATAAGTTTACGTTTGGTGCCCTTTGGTCTTTAAAAACATTAAAATTAGTTTTTTATTTTCTGTGATCTGACTGGATTCGATTCTTTGATCGTAAATTCGTAATCGTAAAGTATCCAAAAAACTGCTGAGGTAAAACAAACTGACGAATGACGAGCGGGCGCGGCGGTGCAACAACAATGCTGCCAGGGGTTACCAACTTTTTTCTATCAAATATAGTATTTTCGAAGCTGTTACCACTAAAAATATAGAAGATGGCATGGATGGAAAATAGAGTATGTAGTTGAAATATCTACTTTATTTTTAAAATGAATATCATTTTGCTCTTCCATGCCTTAATTAATCTAAGAACGCTTTTACTTGGAAAAAATCTGCTTTAAGTAAAATATAGTATTTTCGCCTACTATATATTTTTTTAGAAATATAGTATTTGATCCCCTGATATAGTAGGGTTGGCAACCCTAGTGGTGCCTGCCGTCTTTTTCAAAGATTCGGATCCCAATAGGGTCACGCACTGGGGTCATGTATTTGTTTACTACTTGTGTGTATGTTATTAATTTCTAAGGAGATGCCTGGAATTTACTATAAATCCATTAGGTTAATTAGAAGTCACTTATTGCTGCTTATCAGACAGATTACTTTATGTTTTTTTTCTATTTATTCTAACCCGTCCGAAAAAACTATAGTCCTATCAAAGGATGTGATGGGGGAATGGATGATAAACATTATCAATTGGCTGTTGTTTTGGTTTGCTAAATTAAAGCAAATAACTACTGTTTATGGTTCGATCACGATAAGAAGTGTTAAGTTAATTAAACTTCCGACATTGGAGATGGAACAACACAATCGGTTGGAACAATAAACGGGCTACAACAGCGATGGCTACAACAGTAAAAACACCTTGGACTACGTGCCAGGCACGCCAGCGCGTCCTGCGAACGCGGCCCGCGGCTGCCAGCTACCAGCGACGAGCGCACGCACGACGCACGATAGGTCGCCTCAGCGACGATGGGGAGAAGGGCGTCGAGTCGAATTGTTTACAACACTCGCCTGGAGATCGCACCACGTGGTGAGCGGCACACAATTGATACTTACACTAACATGGGTTTGTAAACGTATATTCTTTAAAGCTGTGCTTGTATCGGAAGTGTATTTAATAGCACACCTGGGTAAGAGCTGGCCTCACTGAACAGGATTATTAACGCTGCCGTAATCAGATTGAAAACAAACATGACGCTACCTGCGCTCGGCGCCTGCCGTGGTTGGCTGGTCTGGTACTCGTAAACCACAATTATTAGCACACAATTCCTTGACACAAACTGTATTTTCACACTGTCACTTGTATTGATATATTCAACTTAAAAACACTGAATTGTAAACACAGCATACAATTGTATGGGACGTAGACGCCTCGTCAATGGCGACGCGCGCGAACGACTGAATTTGGTGGGGGCTGGGGGAAGGGAAGGCGTGCGGGGCCGTCCGTGCCGACGACCCAGTCGTGGAATGCGGCTTGCTCGCTCGCTCGTCGGCTACGGTCCAGTGTGACCAGATTCAGTATTTTAATACTTTTTCAGTATATTTCATCGATTTTTCCGAACATCAGTATATTTTCAGGTATATTGCTGGCAGTCAGTATTTTTAGGTATATTTTGGTAGAAGTTATGGCAACACCGTAGTGAGTGATCGTCTTTGCGACAATGTTTGCGGAATTCCCCGGAACGCGATCATTATGGACTTCCCCGGATTTAGTTTACCTATACTTATACATGTTATCTATGAGTAAGTTACAGATATGACAAGAAAGACGGCCGTTGTCGGCGTTGTAGTATTGTAATACTACGTATACAATTATCAATCAATACATAGTATTAATCAGACTTGCAGAATGTATGTTCGCGTAAAACTTTACAACTGCTGGACCGATTTTAATGCGGTTTACACTGTTAGATAGAGCGTGAAGAAATGAAGGAGTTTGTGTAAATTTTAATCCTTCGAAAAGGATGTTAAAATATAACTCTAACATATATTGTGAGTATGAATAAATAAAATGTGTTAAGAAAATCAGTATTTTTATTGGTATATCTGTCCTATTTAAGTCGGTATATTTCAGTATTTTTTTGAGGTGCCTCGGCATTTTCGTAAAATTTAATCTGGTCACACTGCTACGGTCGTTCTCGGTTCTCGCGTGCTTATTTTTTTGGTCGATCCGGTAGGGTGCGCAGCGTATGCTCGCGGCTTGTAATGTGTGGCGCGCGCCGAAGGACCCAAAAGTATAGGATTATAGATGGGCAAAGCACCCGGTGCTTAGTTAAAAACCCAATAAGACACCAATAAACACCTCTAAAAGTGGGTGTTTACTACTTTTGTGAAAATAACTAAGGAATATTGAAAACAAGTCTATAATTCATTTTTATTTATTTCAATTAGGTATAAATTCTACATTAATGTTCGAAACGTTGCCTAGGCAATTTTAAAAATGTTAATAAAAAACAGAGATGAAAATAATTAGTATTCTGTTTCCATATCACATTTGACCAACATGATGGCCTTTTGCTTGCCTTGGATAGGTACTTTAAAATTTCTTCAAAACATTTTATTCGCGTACATATTTAAAGTCTTGGCTCTTGAGCCATTAACAGTCTAAAATACTTGTAATCCTATTATTCACGCATTCAGAACAGTTTGTTTCTTTTTAATTTAGTAAGGATTCTTCTCATTTGAAGAAAACGAAGAAAGAAATGTTATGGAAGCTTTCATATATCAAGTAAATGACCATTATAGTACGAACGAGATGGAACCTACCCAATTCTTCGGCTGGTTGTCGTATTGTTTTGTTATAGGTACCTATCTCTTTTTTAAATAAACTCAAACTCGATGCTTTCTATTCTGTAAACCACATAATATTCGATTCACATAGTGAGGCCCAAAACTATAAAGCTGCGTGTGTCAAATAAATGGTCCGCTTTATTCCAAACGTGGACTAAAGAAAAGACTTGGTTTTAACCTTAAACCTGTTTTCACTTCGTTCGTTCCGATTGATTAGCCACCACTGGGTTATTGTCGTAAAGAACATTATACTTGTTGTTATTGTTGCATTTGAGCCTCATCATTAAAGGACACACGCCATCCATCGTATTTGTTGCCACCGCGTTGGTACTTAGTCGAGCTGCAGATGAATGAACACATTTATGCTAAAATTGCACTTTTTAATTCAATTGTATTACTGCCAATTATTGTTTCTATGGTTGAATGTATACATACCTGACCTGATAGATCTCACCCTCTGTCCATATTTGCTGTAGATGGGTATTACAGAAAAAACAAAGTTACTATAAGAATTAGATTTAGTATTAAATTATAGAATATTTTATACACTGGTACTTAATTCCATTAGCTGTGATTGAATTTCGGAGTAGTTTTGATGTGGGGGGAGGGGGGGGGGGGGTCTCCCCTCCCAAATATAATTTTTACCGACGAAAACAGACGGATCTCAAAACAAACACAAAATTACGGTATATCCGTCAACTTAATAAACATATTTTTACCATAGACAACGAGAAACATGTTATTTTTGCATGAAAAAATGGCAGCACTGATCAAAATAGCTGTCAAAATTGACTTTAACCTACAAAAATATTAATTTTCAATATTTTTTTTCTCGAATTCTATTCGTTTCCGCGTAAAAAGCATTTGTGTACGTGTTTCTAATAATTAAAACTTTACGTGACAAAAATTTCAGCTCGCAACTCAACCATAGCTAATGGAAAGCTGAGCCCATATGTTTTAGTTGGTTAATAATATTGTTCTATTAGACCAAAAAAATATTATTTGTATTTTTTTACCTAGAAAGCTACAAAACTTTAATTTTAAAATAGTTTTTTCATGGACATACAAAAACACTGTCGGACATTTTAGTCTATAGATTATCTAGGCTATGACGTCAACATAATCGTAAACAAACATTCGGAAGCACATAGGAAATAACCTGAATCTAAATTTATATTATAAAACCATGATTTCTAATAGATTTCATGATAAGTATAATAATTATCATGATTGTACTATACGAGAATATAGAAACACATCGTTAAAGACTCCAGAAAAGCTGTGGTTTAAATTGTCTAGAGATATACACATACCTTTACATGAACACAGTCATGTTTAAAACTTGCTAAATCCTGTATTTTACCATCTGAAAGTCATTTCTTTTAGCAAAGATCACTTTAATGTGAGTACCTTCTCATTGCATAATATTTAAAGTTTAAAATACAATTTTCAAGGTTAGGAATGTACTGGTTAGTAATGTGTATTAGTTAGAAGGTACTAAGTCAAAGAGTTTTGGCGTTTCTGCTTTCACAAATAAAGAAATAAAAACCGGCGTCCAGCATTAATTTAGTCAACAAAACCAATAAACGGAATTTTTTCTACATGATGTAGATTTTTAGATATATTTAAGTCCGACGAAAGACATCACAGTAACACGACATTGACATTTAGTTGTTTAATAACTATCAAAAGAAGAGGTTGGCTGTTCACGTCAGGTAATGCCGGCGTCTTATCCTGTAACGTACCTCAGGAATCGTCCCATGGTTTCGACCATCATAGGTTCCATTTCACATATTTTATCATCTAACATCATCGATATTCATCAGGCATCAACATATATTATTTTAATAGGGATTTCTGGAAACACACAATTTCAAAAATATCACACACTATTCATCATTTTGTAAATACGTATATAATTCCATCTGTACTGAAAATCACTATTCCAGAGTGTTGGACACTTACCGGCATTTCTCTTTATTCTGTTATTTATTTGTTTTCAATAATTTTGCTCCGATTTTATCTATTTTTAGTTTATTTATTTTATTGACATTTTTGACAACTTAATGTTTTTTATCTGTCTCCATGGCTACCCATGACACGGATACTCTCTCCAACTACGTCTATGACTATTCAACCTCCACAGACCACCTACTTTGATTCTTTTTAGTTCGATTCGAACCGTGTATAAATTTAAATGGTTCCGGACCTATAAAAGGCCGAGCCTCCCTGATCTTTCATTCAATTTTGATAGCTCGCTACCGAGCTCTAAATTAATAAAAGGCCTTGTCCCGGGGCCGGGACAAGGCCTTTTAGCTCCCCTACTTAACTCTACTACTTTTCTCGTCATCTTCACCATACTCGCAACCTCATCGGTGGGACTGCCGCTTGGACTCCAGCTTCCTCGGCCAGCCTCCAACTGCTTCAGCCCGCCTTCTACCGATTCCTGCCGTTCCACCAACTCCTGCCACCGGCCGATATTCGTCGGCCAACCTACCAGCAGCGCCCGCCAGCCACCACCAGGGCAGGCCAAGACCTGAGACGCCTGAACAGGAGCGCTTCTACCTCCAAGGAGTGCCGCCCGTCTGCCAGCAGCACGTCCTCCAGACCCTCAATTCTCAACGAAGAAGATCGCCGACGACCCACGCCCACTTCACCACTTCCACTTCACACACATACCATACCCCTATTTTTTTATAATCTGTAAATACTACTTTACTGTAATAGTACAGTGCATGCGGGATATAAAAACTAAACGGGTACCGGAACGGGTAGATACCAAGAAGGAAAAAGAATCTTATCATTGAGATCACTAGGGTTTCGGATCACATTTCAGAATTTGGTTGATTTCAACGCTAAAAAACCCAGGTCTGCGTGTTGACGGAAAAAAGAAACTTTTCATCCCGTTCATTCTCTTTAGAGCATAATACCGGAGCCTTATAGCAATATCACGACCATGCTCGATATGGAAGCTCGCTGTGACTTAAATCCAAAGAACTACCTACATCAAATGCGTTATTAAAACAGCCTCAAACAAACTCGGAGGTCTGAACATGGAACAGCGTTTTTCCATTCCCGATCAACCGTGCTCGTATACAAGACGCAAGTCTGTTCCTGCGTAGAGTATTGCTTACAGTGTAAGCCTTACACCTTTGGCAATCCGCCAAGTACTTACCTTCTCGATGCTTTGTATAGGATAGGGCGGCGCACGACACGTATCATTGGCGATGAGGAGGTGATTAACACCACCAGCCTCTTCAATTACGCCGTGATGTGGCATCATAGGGAGTCCTAGCGTCTTACCACGGCGAGAGTTCTGGAGAGTTATTCTCCATTATCCCACCTTCACTTTTCTTTCAGAAGACCACGCGTCTGGACTATACCGTCACTTAACATCAGGTGGGGTGGTATCATTTGTCGGAACTTTTCATAAAAAAAACATACATAATACTTATATAGTGCAGACCTTTTCCACATAAGAACGGAAGAAAACAGTTCAAGCAACTCATTTCCGGTCATCCTCATTCTATTGCAAATAATGCTATTTGATGATAACGAAAGGCAAAACCGGAAATGGGTGGTAGCAAGAACTGTGGCTCACTGTACCAGCTTGCATTTAGTCATGTCGAGAAGTAGATAATATTTAAAATTAAAGTTAAAAATAATAAAAATCCAAAAAATTGGTGGATTGTCCATCTGTAGATAGGATACATTACACGCAGTGTGTCACGTAACGCACGCTAGATACATTTACTTAAATTATATCAGTTAAGATCTCTGTCTCTAAGCTATTTTACACATTAAATAAGATATTAAATTACATGGATTTGATGTCATTAGAGTCAATTCACACCGGAATGGCAGCGACGCGGACTTTCTCACTGAAAGCCTGCAGTGTGAAATAATTTTATGCCATTCCGGTGTGAATTGACCCTATATCTACACCTTTCGATTCGATCTGGAACCATAAATTTCGGATAGGTATCTTCTCAGAAAAAAAGCAAGGAGTTCAAAATAGCGAAATTACACGGAGCTCCATGGCCCAAGTGGGCTCTCGTTTGGCTAGATTTGCGATCGTGGATGTTAAGCAACTTGCGCAATGGCCGATGGGTGACCAAAAATTTAGTACCTACCTACCTAACTTGAGCTCCGCCGTACTTCTGAAATTCTGAACGCACGTTGTGCCGTTGGTCCCGACTGCATCTGTAGTCATTAACACCCACCCTTCTCACTTGGCCCGCGTGGTGGGTTATGACCTAATCTCCCTATTCCATCCATAGGAAAGGCTTATGCCCCAGCAGAGGGGATATTCATATGATGATGATGCTATTATTAAGATAATACTTCTAAAGAAAATATAACTAGAAAAAATTGCACGCGGACCAGGCAGCAGACGAGACTCGAACCCGCACCCTTCGCTATCCGGGCGAATGCACGGACCAATTATGCTACCGCGGCCCTGACGGCCGCGTCGAAATTCTTCTAGCCATTCTTAAGCTGCAAGGCAGCGCCATCTCTTCGCATTGTAGGTAACCCAATTTCGCATTGTAGGTAATAATTGCTATTTCTTCTTTCAAATGCTTAATACTTGTAAAAGTAAGTAAGTAATACATAAATATCTGGAATGTAGCAGGGGGGGGCTGGCAGAAGTTGTTCTGCACAGCATTCGCCAAATGCCAATAACGTTATCAGTTAGTCAGCGCTGGGCAGGGGCCGGGCCCCGGGAGCCGCGCCGCTCTTATGTAAGCCTTCTTGCAGGAAAGTAATGTATGTACTTTTAGTGAATCGACCCCAGGATATATAATCAGACGGACGCAAAGTAGTCATACCGTCCCAATCTGCCAACCTATAGCGCCAGATCTGGCGTTTGACCTCTGCTGGACGCGGAGGCTTGGCCCGTGGTGCTTTGGCAGATATCAAGCAGTGATCCGACGAGCCTAGTGGGGCTTTGACCACAACCTGATAGCCCTGTGCATGAGTCGCGAGCAGAAGGTCGAGCACAGAAGGCGATTAACTTGGAATATTTAGAATTCTGGTGGGCGGATCAACCAGTTGCTTCAAGTCATGCGTCAGAGCGAATGCGTGAGCATAGATCACTGCATGCATGGTCAGTTTTTGAGGGACCTAACCACAAACTGTGGTGAGCATTGAAGCCTCCCAAAAACATCGATTCTGCATTGGGAAATCGCTCCTGCGCGTCATCTCCTACCCAACTAAGATGTTCAAAAAGTCGAGTAGGCCAACGTCGCCAGTGTGGAATGTGTTGTGGCACACGTAGACTCTGTGGTACATGGGCGTACCCAGCTTCTGGCCTAGGGTGGGGGGGGGGGGGGCAGTCAGATTTTTCAGGTGGTATCGTCCGCGGCTGTTTTGTCATACACACTACACAAACACACCCGCATGAAACATTAGTAATCGCTGTCCCAAGCTCGCTTTCACTAAAGTAGTCTCTTTCACTCTCATTCTTGAAGCAGATTACATCTCGCTCTTTACCCCCACATGTCAACTACTGCAACTGCCAAAATAAGTAATCACTTAATATTATATGTTTACATTAATGTCTTTAAAACTGTACTTACGAAAAAAATGATATGTTTTTCTTATCTCTAATAGTTCCCGTGTAATTTGTATAAGGTACAGGCACCAATGAAGGCCCACTTAATTTCAAAACCTCGTAAAATTTTACAGATAATTAAAGTAAAGAAACAACATAATGGAAGTTGCAATATATTTATTTGAGAAACCAGATATCTAAAAAAGTAGTACAGCTTTTGGCATTTTAACACAAATGTAAACACTTTTTAGAAACTTGGTATTGGGCTATCTTGGGAAGCTGGACGCTAAAGATGGCCCGAAAAATATGAATGAAAATATATACATGACAATTAATTACAATTTTTGTATTGTTCAGTAACTTAGCAATTTATTAAAAGTCGCCTATAAATCATTTTATGTCGCGTCCAATCAGAGCAGAGCACGTGCCTCGTGGGATCGAGGCGCCATCTTGATTTTCACAGGTGGGGAGGTAGTTTTTGCGCGTATTTATAAATTTGTTATGATGAATTTCAATATAGAAATAGATGGGACCTTGGTTCTAAGCTACATTATCAAAATACTTATTGAGGCAGGGTGATGGAAGGGGTGATTTACCTACAAATTTATATTATTTGCTTCTAAATTTTTAAGAGTTATCGTTTATATTTACAAAACCAATGTTGTTTTTGTAAATATAAACGATCGCGAGCTGATTAATAAAGTCGGGGAGTCCATTAAGTATGTACCTACCTACTAGCGAATAATAGGTTACTTCTCATAATGTTAAGTAACTCTTTTAGTTATTTGTTCATTGTTAAAATAAACTTTGTAAAGAGTATATTTCTGAGTATTTCATTAAATTTTAATAATCATAAATACCTATTATGATAATTTATTTATCATCATTTAATAAGAAGGAACTTCATCACAGTTTTATTGTAAGTACTTCGTATAGGATTGCGTACTGCGAGTAGACCATATTTTTCTTTTCCTCCTAGGTTTTATCTACGTTTATAATCACCAAAATTCAATTAAATTTCTTCTTCCACTATTCCCGCAGGCTATCCCGCACTATAACTTTGGCATAGTTGTAACTTTTTAAATATTTGTCCAAATGACATAGTCTAAAAGGCAAAGTTTATCGTCTTTAAATTTTAGAAGCGATAAATGTATTGGTTTTGATAAAAAATAATCTGTTAATACAAAATGTGCATCTTCTAAATGGATATCAAATAACATTTTATTTTTGATTCACTTTTCTATTTTTTATATGTGAGCCACACATTAAAAGTAACCACACCGTATCAGACGTCGGCGTCGGTATATATTACGGATTTAACTATCAGACTGCGACATATACACTCTTTTGCGTTTATCATTGCAAAAAAGTCAGTACACTAGTCTCGTCTGAGAAGAGAACAGCTGATTGATTCCTGATAAAAGACCAGAAATTTCGTAGCACGTATGCGGCTACTTGGTTATTTTTGGCTCCCAATAAAATTGTAGTAGTCAATGACGTATAATCACTATAAAACATTATAGGTAGTAGTAAAACTCAGGAATATATATAAGTCCTCACAATTCTTAATTACTTTGTTAAAAAATAAACATTACCATCTCCATTTTTAATAATAAAATAAATAAGTCAACGATATTAAATCCCCAAATAAGTATCTAAGTACACCCACTCAATCAACATTACAGATATTTTGAAAAATAATTAGTTAGAATGCTGTGTTATAAAAAGCTTTTCTTATACTTTAATAAACTACATTGGCTTAGCTCGTATTTTTCATTGGATGGAATAAAAAACAAAGGTTCACATTTCACAAACAACATTTTTGTGCGTTCATGTGCCATCATAGCTTATCAACGCGCTATGAAAAATAAATGTTTACGCAAGCACCATTTATCAATGAAAGCAAGTTTTTTTATCGCCCTGCCGCGTTTATATGTATTTACTGAGACCCATCCAAATGATGTAAATAACCCGCACTGTTAAGTAGAGAGCGTTATCTGCTTTGACGTTCCCTAGATATGATATGAGACCATCAATGAACAACAGTTGAACTAACTGTACATGTCGCCGCTTAAAAGGCTCTATCTATATTTCTTATTTATATAGAATGATACGAGAAAAGGACAAAGTAATTAATTTGAACTGAGTGAATAATAAGCCCTCAGTTTTATAATCACACTACCTACGTAATACAAAACAAACATACCATAGGTACTTGTACCATGTATGTTTTTATCAGAGAATTTTTGCTATTTTGTGATTTCTGTTCTGTCTCTATGGTTTTTATACATAGTAGAGAATTCGTACGATACTTGCATATAAAAAGATAGGTACATTGGTTTTTCACCATATTACTTAAGGAGTCAGCGAAGCATCAAAGGTATTATTTACCGGGAGTCAAAGAAAAACAGAATGCGCCAGTCACTAGCTTTCCAGTGCAGATATTGAAAGTCAAACAATATATCACATAAGGTGGCAACCTTGCACCTTGTGAAGTACTCCCACCATACCTGAGCCCTTTATATAGGGTCGAACGTCTAGGACAGCTAAAAATATCAACAATGGCCATGATGATGATCTCGTCGAAACCGTAAGTTTAATGTGAGCTACTGAATAGTCCCGAGGTTGTTGTTTGTTGTTGTTGTGGTTGTTGAGGTCAAAAGGGGGGGCCATGACCTGGTGCGGCAGTCTGCGAGGAAAGGCTGTAAGAGCTGTGAGGGTCGGCAGAAACCATAGATAGGCATTCGTTACTGAATTATATTTTGTTTTAAGAATTCTAGGGTCCTCACAGCCCAATCCCAAATACGTCCTTGAACGTAAATGTTTATCTATGCTAAGTATAGTAATATTGTGAAAAAAACTGTTAACGGACACGGGACGAGACGCAAAATTCCGGGATGATCCCGGATTTCCGCAAGCTGGCACCTGGCAAGCCTTGTGTACATAGAAACCACTCCAACACGGAGGTCATCATATAAACTAGTATTAAAATCTCAATTAATGTAAGGATATACAGACGCATTGAATACTAGGAGTACGGTAAGTATGTAAGTACCTAACCAAGTTTTTTATTGGTTACTAATATTATAAAGAGGAAAGATTTGTTCGTTTGTATTGAATAGGCTCCTAAAATACTGGACTGATTTGAAAAAATATTTCATGTGTACATTATCCCTGATGAACATAGGCTATAGAGTATTTTCAAAAAAGTTAAGGTTCCGTATGAAAACTTCGATAACGTAACCCAGGGTGTGAAAAAAAAATAGATCGCTTACGCTGCGGAAGTCATTGACAGTAGAGCAAAGTGATGTACTAAATGACATCAACATCTAAAATAAAAGTTCGCGATAATCGAAATTAGACCAAGAGGTATTCTCTGAGATTAGCAGGTTCAACAAAAAAAAACAAACTCCAGATTTATGATATTAGTAATAATATCTAATTTTTACGGAAGGTTTATAATTATATGAAGAAAGTATTAATGCAAGCCTGAGAACAAAAACTATATACTACACTACAACACTACACCGACGCGAAGCGAGTGCGGGCCACTATTGATTATAATTGGTACAAGTTTTCCAGGCTAGCCATAGCATGATGTAATGTTTGGATGGCAGGCATGTCCTCACTTCGGTGCTCACTTGACCCCAATCGCCCCCAATCGAAGGACCAAATTGTTTGTCTGATCATATCGGTGTATATATGTCGTACTTACTATAACAAGCTCGAGATTTATTATGCTTATTTATTAGACATATAAGTGTACAAGGAATTACATTAATATAAGGTTTTTCTTAAAGTTTCCAATAAGATTTTTTGTCGTAGACATTAAAAACACCTATTTATATTTTATTCTCTTACTTTAATAAATCTCCGAGTTTAACATGTTGGTATTTTAAGAATTAACTTGCTAGATTTATAAAATGTAAAGATCATCGTGTCATCCTGTCTGATACCTGCACCGAGTGCATTTATTCTAGTAAAAATCTTGTGTGCCATCAGTGCCGTCTTTGACCTATTGGAGGCCCTGGGCATATTAGAATAATGGGGCCCCTATGACTTCCGTTTGGTGATTTAACAGGAACTAGGGACTTTGTATTTGATCTGAGGGAGCCCCCTATCGATCGCGGGGCCCTGGGCACTTGCCCAAAGTGCCCAATGGGAAAGACGGGTCTGTGTGCCATACTGCCTTCAAATGTAGATAGCGCTTGTGATCACAATGGTTCTAACAATAACAATCACACTAAATGAATTCAGAGTTGCGGACGAGATTTATCACTAATTAAATAATAAAACATTTACACGTTTTTTTATCATTAAGGTAATACTAGATTTCTATAAAAGAACTATTTTAGGGAGAATGCCATGAAAAGTCAATAAGCCTTATGCTTAATAGACAAATCGTCCGGAAAGCAATAGGTGCAGACTCGAGCCCAGTACCACTAGCAAGAACCAGTATCGAATTCGTAACGTTTGCGAGTCCGAAACGTCATTTCTAATGTGTACTGATTTTTAGTTCTCGTTACGTACTTTCTGGTGCTGCTGTTCAAGTTTTCATACAAAATTTGACATTGTCATTTCGCACTCGCAAACTATTAGAATTCGACTAGCAAACCAGTGAACCAAATGTTCACCAATTAAAAAAAATGTATTTAATTAATTGAGAACTTCGGAGATTTTGTGTGGTTTCGTTTGAAATTCGTGATTTCTCGAACACCGGAAGTGCTACGTTACTCAAATCCGGTTTGTAGTCTTATCAGACTATTCTTAACTTATAACTTAAACATTCTCTTTATCTATCTCTTACGGTTTGGTCGCTGAAACAGCACCACAGACAGACGGACGGACGGACGGACGGACTTGTCTAATACCTAGATAAGAGATAATGGTTTGTGCTAGGGGTACCTACTGCCCTGTCTGGCTAATGCAACGAATGACATAGGGCAATCTATTTTTTTTCAACTGTTGAACACATTTTCATATGTTAAAAACCTAACTACTCTTTGAAACATAATATCTTTTAATAATATGCGTCATACTCGTGAACGACTGCTGTCAGCAGAGACAAGTCTTCTTTTGCTTCATTGGATACTTTTAATCGTTCATTTTTATGCCTAAACAGTATGACACGGCATTCTTAAACTGTAACTAAGTATTTTTATTTTATAGTCATAATTTTATATCATTTACATCTGTAATGAAAAGTGACTTAATGATTTATCTCATATTGAAGTAATTTTCAATTTATGATTTATTTATAACTCTATATAAAACAGGGAGAAAAAAAGATGTAGATTTGCGAACCGATGGAGTAACTTTTCGACACTCATAAGTGCTTGTAACAACTTAGACTGAATAAACGATACTGTCTTTTTTTTTAATTTTTAAGTTCTGACATTCAATAAAAACAACCCATTAGTTTATATAACTTTTGCAAAAGGATCTTTTATAATAAAAGTGTAATTATGCTAAGAATATAAGCTTGTCTGGAGCATATACCATACAAGTGACCATGTCTTCCACTATCAGCCATTACCATGTCCAGTAGGTACCTATAAAAGCGAAGGTCACAGAGATTAATTAATCTCCGACATTCCTGCTTATTTTGTAAGAACCTATGTGATAGTGAGACAAACCAGGATGTTTTTCTTATTTATTTAATAACCTGCTGTACTTAATTATAGCTCAGATTTTATAATCTGAGAAATTATAGCATTCCAGCGAAATATTTAATAATTTAGTCATATTTAATTTCCTTTGTAGGTATTCTGATAACAAGGTGATTATTGTGAAGAACGTGAATCGTAGCGGGGGCGTCGTACAAGCAATTTATTTGCCAATTGACCTGCCACTGACCAGATGCTTAGCCTTTACCCCATGCCGGCCGCCACCTTTTTTAGTCCTCAGCAAAAATCATTTGTGTCATTAAATCAGTTCAAAAGACTCGCTTATTTTTCAATTAGTCTGGAGGTCTACACAGAGAAAGGTCAGAGTATTAAATTGGACATTAATGTGCATGAAGAACAGACACCTCTTTCCCAGTGAGCACTTAGGGCAAGTACTCAAGGCCCCGCGATAGATAGCCCCCCCCCCCCCCCCCCCCAGATCAAATACAAAGTCCCTAGTTCCTGTTAGATCACCAAACGGTAAACAATATTTATTACCAAAAAACTTATATAATTCGATGAAATCGATCCTTAATGACCGACTACAATACCAACTTACTAGCTTTTACATAAGCGAAGCTATTCTACTCTCGCCCAAAAATTAGGCTTTCTGACTTCAGCATGCTTAGATAGTTTATGGTATACTAAGCACATAAACATTTTAAAGAAAAATCATCAGTAGTACACTTATCAGAATGACTAGCTCCATTTCAAGTCATAATCCACATCAAAGTCATAGGGGCCCCATTATCCTAATATGCCCAGGGCCTCCAATAGGTTAAAGACGACCCTGATGAAGAACAATCAGTGGATGTTCTGATGGATCTTAGTGGACCCGGAAAGAGGCATAACGTATCTTCGGTTCGAACTGGAGCGCCATTTTACAAAATACGGTAACCAAGTAACATATAACATACCTACTCCCATCTTATCCTATGATAATGATCTGTGTAGTGAAGTGCTATTTACACCGGTTTACTACTCTGAGGTCCTGGGTTCGAATCCCGATAGGGGAAAATGTTTTTGTGATGAATACAATCATTTGTACCTGAGGTACATATAAGAAATATTGATTTATTTATTATCTGTATTGCTTGGTGCAGTAAGATATCATAACAGCGTAAGGGTTCAGGGTAGGGTTGCCAACCGTCTTGTTTTCCCAGGGCATGCCCTGGGTTTCGGGGTTTCTTGGGCCGTCCTAAATTGTTTTTAAAATCTTGTTTTTTGAAATTGTGGTTGGCGAGGCGACCCTAGCTCAGGGTAAAGGAAGACAGCCCGACGCTGATACCAATTTCGATACCTGAGTACTCTTTAAAGTTTCGCTAAGCGTCTTTATTACCATCTACAGATTATTTCTTTGTTATTGTGAGCGAGCTTTATTTGCTATTTTTACGTAAACGTGCAGAATAGTAGTTTTCACATACAACGATTGTATGTGAAAACTACACAATTTGACGACCTCCGTGGCCGAGTGGTTAGAACGCCGGGTTTCATGGTGTCGCCGACTCGAGAGGTCCCGGGTTCGAATCCCGGTGGTGGCAGATGTTTGTGTGATGAATACGAGCATTTGTACTGTGTTTGTATATGTACAGTATATGTATTCTATCCGTTACCCCTAGTATCCCATAACACAAGCCTTATAGTGCTTAGTTTGGGGCTAGGCTAAATATAAAAAAAATAAAACTTTTCACTCCTTTAAAATTTACTAGTAAGTACGCCTAGATAACCTATGTTAATCTCCAAAGTCCCCTTTATCAGTACCGATGGTATTAGCCAAAATGTATCAAAATCAGTTCAGTGGTGGTAGGTGTTACTTTCGAATTTATTTAGGTACTATAAATTCAACGATTAAAGCCTTAGAGGCCTTCCCGGCCAGAGGCAGCCCCTACGGGTGTTTTTTAGTCAGTACGAGTCTGACATAACCTTGCAGCCGGCTGTAGGGTATCCATGAGGATTTCTCACCCGCTCCCCCGCCTGGGAGAAAAAAAAAAAAAGAGTTTACAGGCATTATATTATAAACCTATTATACTATGGGTCAATGGTCTTTAAATATAAGGAAACGTCAATATACGGATTCCAAGTAAACGACAAAAAATCTCGATTTGTATTATACCTTTACATAATTATAAACAGTAACTATAGTTCATCTGGTACATATTAACTAAAGTACTGTTTATAACTAAACGTAACTTGCATTGCTTAGGTAATTTAATTTGATCTTTTATGTATAAAAGATTAAATTAATTTATCTAAGCAAGTCTGTTAATTAAATCCATGAAAAGATTGAAATTATAAAAGAACTTTTCCAACTGCTTAGGAAATTGTTACCTACATAAATTCAAATTAGAAAAATTCTAAGTATATACTTCTGAATTAGACCTTTTTAATTACATATTTAAAAAGGTCAAATTAAAAAAAGGTTTCCTTACTCGAATCTTTTTTAATGCGGAGAACGTAAGGTGGGCGTATCAATTAATACAAATAAATATTAGAAATTCTATAATGTGTTTGCATTTAAGTAATGCATGTACGGCTCGTCTGTATCGTAAACGTCTTGTAGCATCATAAGTACCGCCTGCTGTATAAACTCCACCTGAAATAGGAAAGCTGATGAGTATTTTAATGTATTAAAATCTCTCTCAAAGTTCAATCGACTTACTTACTAATTTAAAGTTTTCGATTTCTGATAAATAAATAGGAACTATTTAATTTTGTTGTTATGGCGGCAATGGAAATTCACAACACATTCTGTAAAATGTCACGGAACGCTTTCCGTGACATTTTTTTTCCGTGACATTTGAAAAGGCTTTTTTAATAAGGTTCCACTGAAAGTGGGAAGGAAACCTAGTGATAGAAACAAAATATGCATTTTCTGAATTTTGATAATTACTAAGCTGAAGATTTTTATATGGTGACAAACCTTCATATCCTGCTCACAACAAATTGGATAGAAATATCTATTGAAAATAAAAGGCGAAGATAGGATGGTGTGAAGCTTTTTCTATACATATACTAACTAACCCAGCGAACTTCGTACCGCTATAAAAAAATAGGGGTTGGTGGTGGTATGATGTATCATAAATAAATAAAAACAAAAAAAAAATGCCTAAAAAGAATTAGCGGAATGAAAAATAGATGTTGTCCGATTCTCAGACCTACTGAATATGCATATAAAATTTCCCGAAAATCGGTCCAGCAGTTTCGGAGTAGTTCAATTACGCCACGGAGCACCCCCACTAGAGTCCGCATACAAGGGCAAGCGCTTACGCCAAGCTTAAGTAGTATTTTACCTATGCGTGAGGCACGCCTACAGACGTCGCGATACATCGTTTCATTCGGTAACCGAGCGTTGGTCGAACTGCTTCGCTCGTTTTCGTTTTAAAATGCCGTACTGTGCAATTAAATTGTGTGGAAAGTCGAGTACAACTTCTAGTCTTAAAAAAAATGGTATTACTTTTCACTGGTTAGTTTAAATGCATTACAAAAAGACAAAAATATTGTTATATTAAATTGGTCTTAATTGTATTTATTTTTTGGTGAACGCGTTGATGTCTTTTTACACTATCCCTTTCTCGCATGGGCTACATCATATATGCTATCTCGCTCTCACACCGGCACGTGTATTGCTAGTGACTCAGACGCAGCTCATGTCTCAACGCGTAAGTTTATCGATAAGTTTGTCAGCTATGGAAATTGAAAAAATAAATAAAAACTATTTATTTCATCGTATACAATAATAGATGTCATGAGTATACAACCAACAGTTTTTATTTGACTTCAAACATATCCTAATAAAATTGAAAAAACGCGAAAATTTGTATGCATATTTGTTACTCTTTCACGCTAAAACGGTTAAACGGATTTGTATGAAATTAAGTGCGCATAGTTTATGACCTAGATAAAGACATAGAATTAACGATATTAAATACCCTAGCAACACCACGAGCGCTCAAAATGTATCCCCATCAAGAAGTACTTGAACTCCACTCAATCGCGGACCGTTGAAAAGTCAAGATGCCAAAGAGTTCCGTGAAAAAATACAGAAAAATACTAATAGTACGTAAAGTGTCGTTTTTGGACAGGTTACTAATTAATGTTTTTTAATTAACGCCTTTAAAGCAAATTTTATCGTTGTAATACTTACTATAAACTGATTTAATATAAAATATTTGTGATATTCAAATGCATGGTCGGTTAATCGTCGCCCTTAGCCATCTCTTTTCTTCGCGATCTGTACCTGCTATATTGCTAACAGCGCATTCAGAATTGCGCACGATAAGTCAAAAAAAATAAGGTCTATATTCTTTCACACATAACAATAAATCGTAAAATTTTACGAACTTGACGCATGCATTTTAATTAAGACCTTATGCCGTATGCATTAAAGGTGACTTTCAATGTTTAAATAAGGCATTATATTGTTTTTGACCACGCGATCATCTTACGGACCTCCGTGGATCGTCCAATGTACATTTTGGACAGGTTTCGGCCACGATTTTGTTCGTGTTGTTGTATTTAGGGTAGTTAATATCGTTGCATTAATACTTCTTGTCCTTGGCGTGTTTTTTTTTGTGTTGCTTATATATAATTTAGTATGTAGTTACTAGTCGCGTCATGTAATTAGAACGCTGGAAGAAAGTGGAGAGGGTATGATTTCGCATTTGCTTACACTCGCGCACCAAAGTACTAGGCCTCTATTCTAAATTGTTTATCGATAGAAAATATCGATATTTTCTAAAATCGATCTTACCCTCATCACTTCGCTGCACTGAGTATATGATCTGACCTTGACGCGTCCAATCACAGCGGGGCTGACCTCCCTGCACCCCACCGACTTTGGCGATTTTGATTCCAAACAAAATTTGTGTGATGCGGACTCTAGTGGGGGTGCTCCATGAATTACGCACACCGCACACGAGAATATATATTAGATTTCGTATTCAAGTTTGACCAGTAATATGAAATAAACTTACCTGATCTGGGGGACAGTATCCGTCGTCGGTAGATCGTGCAATAGTAATCAGCACCGGAGGAGGTAGTATTTTAAGGAGCGGATGAAGCCCGTTAAGAATCTCGTCAGTAATTTCAGCTTGAGAGCTGATGTGGTGTGGAAGGCCTCCTTGGTCTCTTGTGCAACCTCCTGCGAACACCGCCCACCAGTCGGGAGGCTCGTTTAGCCTCTCAGCTTCTGCTAGAACGGCTGATGCAATATCTAATACCTGCGAATCCGAATAAGTGCTCAATTTTGCAGTAGTCATTACTAGAAAAACTATAAAAAAGAAATTTCTAAAAAGTTTTCAGAATTTTTTTCTTTACCTTGTAATACGTACTACTTTTTTCGCCAGTGTAATCTTCTAAACTGTTGTACTCTTCAAGATGCTGAAATAAACTTTCGAGTTCATCTAATTGCTTCTCCCGTTTTTTCGTGACCCTAAGAATATTTTCTTCATTTCTCTCTTCTGGTATATCAAAAGTGAATATTGGTTCCAATTTATCGTATAGGTCAATGTGTCTATACAAAAACAGAAACGGGTTCGCAGTGCTGAAAAAGTCTAAATCGATATCTAAAACATAAGGCTGGGATATATTTAGTTTATTGGCGAGATCTCGAAAAGTTCTTTCAGTATTATTAGGCGAATCGGATACTAATTCCGCTACAGTGAAATCGAATGTTCTTGCATTAGTGAGTTGAGATGAGTACAAGCCGTCGGATAAATAGTAAGGTTCTGTAGAATCGACTCGTAGTAAGCCTGTGGAGGCGTCATCTCCGACTTGGATGACCCGGGAGCCATCTGTGAATTGTTTAGCCCACGGAGGCCGCAGCCACAACACTCGGCCTAAGTGCCCAGCGGCCACAGCTGGCATAATCCAATTTTCTATTTGCAGTAATGGCAAAAGTTTCCTTCCCGAACGTGCGTCTTCTCCCTGCAGTTTACGATCTATAAGCATATCCGGATGAGCGTCTAAATGCAATAAAGTTGTCCCTTCTACAGGCAACTTTTTCCCTCCAATTGCAGAGTACATAAATTGTAAAGCGTCATTGTGCTCTTCAACGACGTAAATTGGTATCTTTTTAAACTTTTTAGCAGGCTGGTTGGTATTGTTAGAATCTCCGGCCATCTGAATTTTTAATCACTCCTTCCTTTTTGGAAATGGTTCTTACGTGTCCTATAAAAATCACAACAGTCCTGAAACAAAAGTATGCACTTTGTCATACATTTGAATCGCGTTAATCATAGTCACTATTTACGTTTTGTTTTTATCTGAATATTTTTTAACATTATTTCATCAATCTCTTTTACTAATGTTAAGTAAATAAAGACAATGGTTACTTTAAATAAAACTAGTTTTTACGGGTTAATGCACGAAACTTTATTTATTTATTGACGTTTCGCAGCCTTTTCAGGTCTGCATCGTCAGAATAATGACCTGAAAAGGCTGCGAAACGTCAATAAATAAATAAAGTTTCGTGCATTAACCCGTAAAAACTAGTTTTATTTAATGAGTGATGTGCGTGAAAACCTAAGAAACAAATAATTACTTTGTTTACATCATCTATTTGAAATCTAAATATAGGTCAAGGCGAGGCCTTCTATTGGAAAAAGTAGAGGGAAGTTTTACCGCGGCTGTTTTCGTGACAACTACGCACTTGTTGGAGTTTGTTTGTTTGCATTTTGGCTACCTAGCTATTTATAATTTTAGCATGTAAATATTCCATTTGTGTTAATAAATAGACGATCCAAATGGTGATGTTTAACACAACGTGCATATTAAGATATAGTGGGTTGTTTTTAAATTCCATTACTCAAAGTAAATCAGAACTTAAATTAGAAATAAACATTTATGAATTAGAACTTCTTCCTGTTTTGAATTTAGTTTTGGTATAAGTTTACAAATTACGATAAAATTAAACAAGTTAAATAATAGATTCAGTATTGTTAAATGAGTAAGTTCTAAAAGGGGGGTATATGTTTTTCCGATACGATATTTAAATACTTTTATAGAACTGAAAAAACAGATGTGTCCAAATGGCAGGACACTAATAATACTATTAATTAAACATTAATGGCCGCGCTGAGGACATTCAAATGAATTTTGTTGGGCCATTTTTTATCCTGAGTTTTTATCATAGCTTTAGTAATTAAGTAGGACTGATTTATAACTCTAAACATGCCTTTTGTTCTGTTCACACCTATTCGTTCACACACAGTACAGTATATAATTATGGCCGGCGTAGCGCCAGCCACCTGATAGATAAATGATAAATAAAACAAGGAAAAGTTGACGCACTATTTTCTCCTACACTCATTTCCGACTGCGACTGCGCATTCGGCATTGTATGGTATGCCTAGGAAAAGTATAAAATTAAAATTATCGAACAGATATCGAAATATAATCATAATGGCGGATATATCCCAAACTTGAAATCAAGGTGCATACGGAAGCATCTCATGTATGGTTGCTACTTTAGTTCAAGTAAAAATACGGGACAGGATATACGAGGAGGAAAGACAGACACCGAAAGCATAACATCGCAGAATGGAGAAATTTAAGGGAACTTCTTGGCACATTTGGATTATAATTTTGTGAGAAGTTGGGTAGGATCTGGATGCGCGAAGCAAGCAATATGTTAGATCATGATGTTGGTGTAGAATGTCGGTAAATCGGCCTTCAATGAGTGAACCCAAGACAAACCCAAGCTCGTCGCAAGATGAGACGCAGAAAATGCTTATGAGAACGAAGATTTTTAATATATTTAGAGATCTTTGAAGTTTATTAGTTACGCAATACCAAGTACATTTCAGTATGTTAATTAAAATAGCGTTCACAAACCGTAAACTGGACGTTCGAATAAAACACCAATATGGAGATCATTATGGGGAAGGGTGTGGGATGCTGATGAATCTCATCAAAGAGAGTAGGAAAGTACCAACTGAATGTTTTCCATTAGCGCATTAGCGTCGGCAAACTTCCGGGCGACGCGATGCGTAGATGCGCGGCGCAGCTTGGCGCTGGCTGCCGGGCGGGGGCGGCTGCGCCCTACGCGGGGGAGGAGTGTTATGACGGGCGGATGGCGGACCGAGGAGGGTCGATAACGGCCGCCTCTGACGTCACTACGCTACTACGCCCGCCCAAACATGCCCCGCGATCCCGCGCCTCTCCCCCCTGACCTTATTACGTTACGCCCACCTGGGTCAAGGTGCGGAAGCCGCAATGGATTTGCCCGGATGTTAACTTGATTAGGTACCCATACAATTAATTAATTTATGCCTAAATACTAGCAAAGATTGATTAGAATGCCCGCATGATTAATTATGGGTGTTGCAGGATTTTAATTCATTCTGAACACAGTTTTATCCAAATTGAAAATAAATATTAAACTCACAGGCTACATCTTATCACTATCTAGCAAAAATTCTAAAGACTAATGAGAAAACTGTAGGAGGGAAAATTTTGACGTCATATATTTATTTATTGATTTCTCTCTATGATCACTTACTCTGCAAACTATTTTGTCACGTTCTGCTACCAGTGGCCTAGCAAATGTGCCAACTGAATAGGCCTGTATCATGTTAGTCTACACATTTGTGGACATTAACACCTGGCTGGGTTCTCAATAATAGATTCAAAACAATGAATAAAAAATTATATTAATTTGTTGGCTGAGAATTATTTTAATAGACAGCAAACAAACAGTTTACTTAAAAAATTAAAAAAAAACTAAAAAGGATGCGAAACGTCAATAAATAAATAAACCAGTGCTTCTAAACCATTGAAACTTGTTTTATTAGAAAAAAATAATTTAAGGTATATATAGATATTGCTATATATATTGTCAAATGTTTCAAAATCAGTTTATAGAAACAAAATAAATATTCAATTAATGAAATCCATGGAATCTTAAGAGTATAATTGGCATAAATGGGCAGAAATGATAAAGACATTCTCATATTAGCAATACCACAACTTTTTTATTCCTAATTACTTCTGACCAGCAAATAACTTTGCTGTAATTTATTTATTATAATGTTGCAGTGATGTAGTGGCTTAAAACCGCTACTTACTGAAGGTTTCATAGTTAGTCAGAATGGGGGCGTAAGGTATTTTAAAACCTTTGATAGCGATAGCCATAGCAAACCCGTTAGGCGAACGGCGCCCTGGTCTATTCTCCAGTGATAAAAAAGGACAATTTCATTGCCTATATCAACCACCCACTGATAGGCAATGATTTGTTGAAATTCAGTGATTTTTTGTAAAAGAAATGGTAAAATATAACCAGTTCTATTGATTACAATTAAAAATTACCTGTTTCAACTGTTTTTAAGAATGACATAGGGTTAGAGGAATTTTAGTTTTATAAGTTATTAATATGAGAATTGGTAATAGGCATCTGATGACTAAGAGTACATTTAAAACTTCATATCCTGAGAATTTAAAATTTAGGATGAATGTTGTAGTCCATGGGAGGGAAGCTGCAGGCGTAAAGCTAGTAAACACATTTAAAAGTGTTTTATTTAACAATATGGATTGATTCGATTTTGTGCTTATTATGGTTAAAAATAAAAACTAGTGTATTGCATAAAAGAAAACAAAATCTGTTCCCAAAAATATACAAGATTTCCATGACAGACCCACCATACCCCTAGCCATACCCCTGGGGGTAGGGTGGGACTGAACCATACCACCGTTGTAGTGCTGGGATTTTATGGAAAAATAGAATAAAAATAGATACCTAACAGATACAAATATTTAGTTTATTAAAAAACCAAAATCCGTTCTGGCAAAACCTAAAAATACAACAAATATTTATTTTGTTATTTATCTTAAGCAGAAAAACTTAAAAGATGTTAATCTATGTTCTTAATTTGTCTAACGCATGCTCAATGGTGATTTCGTTGTGCACTAACTGCATTTACTATGTACAAAAGGATACTTGAAATAAATACACGATAAGATTATTATTGAGAACAATCAAGTAAAAATGAATTATAAGTACATATTTATACTATGTCGTATGGGATGCTATTGACACCAGGTACCTACTTATTATTCGGTAAAACAAAACCTGAAAGCATATAGTGCACAGCACTACGGTGGTATGTTTCAGTTCCACCCTACCCCTGGGGGTATGGTTAGGGGTATGGTGGGTCTGCCATGAACATTTCTATAACAGCTCGACGAGTTGGTATTTATCAAATGTTTTTATGTACAAGCTTCAGTATACAAATTAAAAGAAGCATTTGACAGCATGTGGAAAAATTGTGACTGTACATATTATTTGCTAGGTATATTTCTGATAAATGTAGTTTTCTAACAAAAACATAAGTTTTAGTTAGTTTATGAGTATCTTTGCCACAGGTGCTTTTTCCTGCAACTATAGAGTTTACTTCAAAATCGCAGCATTGTTCATATATAATTAACCCAAACAGCTTAAACAGTATCCTTTTCAAAGTAATTTTAAAAATCGTTAATGGGGTTAGAACCTACCTCTGCTGTCTCTTGCTCTGTAATTATTGATGTTTTGTTGAAGAAAACAACACATTGGTGACTATTATTTATACTTGATTGTGGTTATTGTATTCGAATACCTAATAAAAGTTATATTTTATTTCAGCAAAATAGATCTTGGTCAACTTAGATCAGCTGACAATAACAACACGCACGCCGCGATATATCGGGAGACCGATTAAATATCGATATATCAGACTCAAGTTTCGTTCATCGAATTTAATTCAGACACCCAAAATATCGAATTGAAACCTCGACAAAACCCACCCTACCAAGGTGTGACAAAGAAAGGAATGGAAATACTCACGGAATATGTATAAATTGCTGTAAAGAAATAATACACCACTTTTATCGTCCGTTGTTCATCTTATTTTCTTTAATAATCAAACAGGAATGTCTTGCCGAACGTCAATAATAAAAATCCATAAAGCAGAGACAATAATGTTGCAGTTGCAATGCATCCTCATTATTTAACAGAGTGTAATAACGTATTTAAAAAATCTGGCACCCCAAAACACTTAAGATTTCAAAATATTTAAACGAAAAAAATTGTTGTCTATAAAGTCTGTTTACGGACGATAGTTTTACGTGATAACGTTATAAAGAAACATTGATGAAAAATGATCGTGCCTCTCTATTACTTGTTCCGTGCTCTCGCTTGCACGCTCAGGCTCAGGCGAAACGTGACACGTTTTCGTGCTTGCAGCCGGTGTTTATCGATTTATAAGACGTTATTACGTCAAAAATAAAACCGACCAACCGACCTGATAAGTAAAAAATTATATCTGGTTTAATATTTGGAAGTCGGCTGGGGTCAAGATTGAAAGCCATATTATTACCGATTAGAAATGAAAAACTATTCCTTAAATCAATCCTTAGTTCCAATTTCAAGTCGGTTTTAGTTTTTGTATAAATAATTTTATTTCAACTATTTTAGTGAAAATAAAATCGTCCAAGTAAATAATACACAAAAATGCTCATAAATAAAAACTACTGAGTCAAACTATTTTTTATAGAATCGAACTGCAAGCGTATCTCTTCAAATAAATCACGAAGAATCACTCAAATCGGACTAGAAATATTTTTTGATGCAGCAAGCAAGCAGCAGTCTATTTGACGCCGAGGGAACATCGTAACTAGATCATTTTGTTGTGAATTTATAAATTATTGAGTATTTACTTGATAGATCAAAGGAAGAATGTAAGTCTTACAGCTCGACAGACAACAGAAGAAAAAACGTTGATGGAACAAAACACTACTTCGGAACGGTCCACGAATTAGTTCCCTTGCAAAAATAAAGCAGCTGATGGTGCTTTATTTAAAAACTTTATTAAAATGTCAAATAAGTACTTTGAACATTTACTACAATTAATTACACCATATATATTTTTATTCATGACACGACTGAGTTCACTTAGGAATTCGTTTCTGAGGTTCATTTTATTATTGGTACTTTCTTCATTTTTAATCGTATTTTTGAACATGGCCAAGTAAAACATTACGTTTCACTGTTTTTTTTATAATTTGATTAGCGGACATCCCATAACACTTTTCGTTACACCATTCCATAGACCGATAGTTCTCACTTTCAAAAACAAATACAAGTAAAATGGAATTACAAAACTGTTTTATGGCACCAAAATTACACATGTAATCCATCATGTTCGGATACAAGCTGCGATAATTTGCCACAAGACGCAATGTGTTGCCATGCCGCATGATACCTGGTACAATTTTCGTGTTTTTAATTGTAGCATGTGAATTTTAGATATTGAATGCATAATAAGCATTAACACTTAATATTTTAATCAAAAAATATGCTAAATAAGATATGTAACTTTTACCGATAAGTTTATATATCGATTTTGTTATATTCTGTACATCGTACATCCCTATTAGAATGATGACAATTGTTTTTTTTTTGTTGCAGTTCTCCCGTTTTAGGGAAGGCAAAGGAAACGCCCATACAGCCTGATCTTTAATTAAATTAATCTTCTTTTTGTTTTTACATTAGAATGTCGGTGTGACGCATTCTAATGTTTCTTGGAGTATTTGGCACGAAATGTAATAAATTAGCTTTTTCGATAAGCTTCTGTGAGGTAGTCAACACTACAATACAAATTCTCACGTCCACTTGACCGGAATAGCGTATATTTTAACGATTCCACTAATTCTTCAGTTACGTAGACGGTTGTTACACAAAACCACACCAATTTTATTTCACAATATCCACTATGAACGATTTTAAGAATAATTAAAATAAGACGCCAACCGCACTCGATGAAATCCCGCCAAAAACTCCCAATTGTTTTTTTTTTAATTTTTTTGGTCAATGTTGGGACGGGCAAAGGAATTGTTATTTTTTTATATTTTCACTTTTTGGGAAAACAGAGGATAATGGTGTCGATTCTGGAATTATTCTCTAAAACTTAAAATTGACAACAATGTATCCTTGTCATTTCTCTATACAGAATGAAAATTATATATTGATGTTAAATTTAGTTTCAAGTTTAGAGAATCACACTTTTCTTAGTATGCTTTCCAATTACAGAGCATAATGCGACTCAGTGCCGCACAATGCCCAATTATGCTGATGCTTAATTGGAACGTGAATTAGTTTTCAAATGCACCAGCAGAGTGCGCTAAGTTCAGTGTTGAAAAACAAAAGTCAATGTTTGTACCTTCATCCATACTTATATTTATTTTTTAACAGTTTGAATGAACTTTGATTATTTAAAAAAAACTATTTAATGAAACGAAAGCTTTAATAATTTTTCAACAATAAATTATATTACTTACGATAACATATAAATAAAACATTTCGATCAATGCCAACTTAAAGAAAAAAACACTTGTTAATTTTCTGTCTCTAAGTTGGTACCATTGCACGCATCACACGAAAGCATCACTTTTGAGAGTGCTCAATTGTGCGAAGCGTTGCTGTAGTTGGATGGAACACTCAACGTTAAGCATTATGCCGCATAATGCGCTATAATGCTGTAATTGGAAAGCAACCTTAGCTTCAAATGTACTTAGTCAGCTTTCTCGATAATCAATATAAAAGACAACAGAAGAAAAACACAGAGTCCATAGATACAGTTTGTCTATAAAGTCGTGACATTAAATGATGGCGCCTCTAGTATACATGTAACAAAGTGTTTGTTTGTTACCTCTTCATGCTTAAACCGCTGAACTGATTAAGATGAAATTTGGTGTAGTGATAATTTGAGTACCGAGAAAGGATATAGGATAGTTTTATTCTAGAAATCATGTCTTAAGGGGCTTAATGTTGGTATTGGAAACCAATCATTCCACGCAGATGAAGCGACTTACCTTGGAAAATAAGACACAATATCGATTGTAACGATAGCATAGGAAATAATTACTCTATACTATACTCTTATGTAATCTATAATTTTAATTTTACTTATACTCACTTATTTTCCAGACTTACGAAAGTTAAATACCTATGTACAACTTTTTTGGTCAGAAACACAGAAAGAGGTTAGAATGGCCTTGTGGGCGGGGCAGGCGCGTCACAGTTATGAGCAAATGCTCATAACATGACCGTAACGTCTGATCGCGTCGTTTAGTTGCCCGCGACCGCTCAGTGAGAGAGTATTGTGATTACCGCTTAAAATATGCCTTCGTGTGCCGAAATTACTTGCAAAGTAAGGAGTCAATCATCAAATCTACCTAAAGCAGGAATTTCTTTTCATCGGTAATGGTAGCCATACACACTACGAGAAATCGTTACGATTAGACTGTACAGTCCGAACGGTACCGATAAATCGTAGCGTGTATGTTATAAAACTGCACAGTTTCCTATACGTACGCCACGTACGATAAACTGTTCCGTTCGAACTGTACAGTCTGATCGTAACGATTTCTCGTAGTGTGTATGGCTGCTATAAGTATAAAACTTCTTGGTTAGACTGATATTTTAGCAAAAATTCGAGAAATTTTAATAAAACGGTGTTCTCTCGCCACTCCTATTTTCATGTTTCATCAACTCAGTTACCAGAGTTATTCTCTCCAACTTTCATCTCTTAGCAGACGACTTGCAGCTATATCGTCATTTTAATATCGATGAAGTGGATTTGCCGTGGGGTGCCGGCATAGAATATTGCACCTCCCCATCTCTTCCCGTGGGTGTCGTAAAAGGCGACTAAGGGATCGCCAGGAGAACGGGCAGCAGCGTTCTCCTGAGTAAACATTACATCTACTGCGATCGCCAACCCGCCTGCCAAGCGTGGTGATTATGGCAATAACCCCCCAAATGGAAAAAGGCATAAACACAACGGCCCCGAGTCACGGCGACCCCGCTATTCCGGCTCACGGTGGCGGGCCTGGTAACGGCGGGGTACGGGGTGCGAAGAATCTCCGGTCGAGATCCGGCCACCAAATAAAACAGACTCTGGCCCTGGTAACACACAACATTCGCACGCTCAGGACTGACGAGAGGATTGCCGAGCTGGAAGAGGAATTGAGCAAGATTCGGTGGGACATTGTAGGGTTGTCAGAAGTCCGAAGACAGGGGGAGGACACGATAACCCTCCGGTCTGGAAACTTGCTCTATCACCGGGAAGGCGACGACTTGTCGCAGGGCGGTGTCGGGTTTATCGTTCGTAAGTCTCTCGCAGCCAACGTGGAGAGGATTGAGAGTGTGTCGAGTCGGGTAGCGTGCCTGATACTCAGAATAACCAAACGGTATTCGCTGAAGGTCATCCAGGTCTACGCGCCGACCTCGACGCACCCCGACGATGAGGTGGAGACTCTCTACGAGGATATCTCGAAAGCCATCCGCTTATTCAAAACTCACTTCACTGTGGTTATGGGAGACTTTAACGCGAAACTAGGAAAAAGGAAAAGCGGTGAGTTGAGAGTAGGGCAATTCGGATTCGGCCAGAGAAACCAGAGAGGGCAGAAGTTGGCTGATTTTTTGGAGAGAGAAAATCTCTATATGATGAATTCCTTCTTCAAAAAGTCGCAACAAAGGAAATGGACCTGGATAAGCCCTAATGGTTCGACACGGAACGAGATAGACTTTATCTTGTCAGACAAACGGCAAATATTCAATGATGTCTCAGTGATCAACAGGGTGAAAACCGGGAGCGATCACCGAATGTTACGAGGCACATTGAATATTCGTGTCAAAGCCGAGCGGTCCCGACTGATGA